GGAAGAGACACGGTGTCTTACTGCGTCTTTTTCCTGCCGCCATGCAGGCTCAGATGGTAGCCTATATGATTATGATTTGCATGCCTATTATAAAGAGACACAAACCTTTTACTATCATGTCATTTGAATAATATGCGCGCGATAGAGAGAGACAGCAAGACAGCGCTTGTGTTGTGTGAAGACGTGATGGTGTCACTCTCTCTCACTCCCAGCTCGTTTGCGCCCTGTCAAACGCATCAGTCATTCTACTCTACAACACTCACCGCGATCAAAAAAGGCTTTGGCGGGACAAAAAGCGGACGATCCGACAGATTTTAGAAGATTAAATACAACCCGAAAGAAACTAAAAAAACAGACCCGTCAAAATAGTCAGTGATACATTTGCGACCCATTAAAAATTAGGGTCGCAATGGGATTTCAAAAGGTCGCATATGCGACCATTTTGGTCGCAGTGTAGTTCCCTGCCTTGGTAAAGAGATTCAATTGTTCATTTTCATTTCGAATCTCCCAACAAATGCTGTCCACTTTCCCAAAGTACCCTTCAAGGGGGCAAAAACACCTTTGGAATTCACCCTATTTATAAATGTTGGAATGAGGTGTTATATTACGTTTTTAATAAAGTCTTTAATGTTCCGTTTGTGGTTAGCATTGTGCTAGGTGAAGTGTTTGTGGTTATAAAGTGCAAACCATGACGAATCTGACTCCCAGAGTAATAACTCTAAAAATGTCAAAGATATTTAATTTCTCATTCTTTAAGTTTGCAGGCGATACATTTTATACACAGCCATTGTTTATAGATAAAGCAACAAACAGTCTTGATCTGTGGTGTGTTTTTCCTGTACAACGACGTAACTCTGTGCTTCACTATCATAAGAAATCAACTTGCTAGTTACGACTGTTTCCCAAAACCATATTGTCACTAGGGTTGCAACGGTATGAGATTTTCACGGTATGATAATCGTCTCAGAAAATATCACGGTTTCACGGTTTCACGGTATACGATATTAAAATTATCATTATTATAATCAGCATCAGCTATAATGGCCCTTAAATGAATAAAAACAGATATTGTTTTTGGTTGAACATGGTTTATTGTAACAAAGGTTTTTTCAATAGAGTCTTTATGAAATGTATATTTATTTCCTCAGAAATTCTGGGTTGTCTGAAATAACTGATCTGGATTCTGTGATTGAATACAAAATGTATTTTTGAGAATGCAATCAGATAAAATGTAACAACTTTAGTTTGTCTACACAAGAGAAGTTTAATAAATTAAAACATGGACAAAAAAACTATACACGATAGTAATATATTTTAATCATAGGCTAAACCAAACTTTTTTTTTCCAGGTTGTAGGGGAGAGCGGGGCACAACCTAACGCTTTTTGCTTTTGGCTCAATTAATTAAAAAATAATTAGGTTAGATTAATACTTTTTTTTTTACACAAGCAACATGCACATCTCTGCTACAAATGAACACTTAAAGTTTTTTCTAGGACCTACCATTTTCGTACAGTTGGACTGAAAGTGACAGAAGTGCAAATGTTACAACTTACCCCATATGCGGGGTTAATTGTAACAGAGAGTGGGGTTAGTTGTAACACTTGTGTGTAACACACATAATTCAGTACTATTTTATTTGTATAGTTTGATATTGTTTGTGCATCTGTAGACAGATATCCATACATATCCCTCATCCAATCATCCTTCTATTATGGATCAATATCATGGATAGAGACATAGAAAAGGGCTGCATAGTTTTGCAATAAATAATAATAAATAAAATTATAAATATTGTAATTGCAATTAAATTAGATTTGTGTGTGGCAGCTGCATGATGCACAATTTTTATTATTATTAATAATAACAGTAATGATAATACAAATTAGCTTAAAATAAAAATTTAAAGGGTTTATTGCATTAATAACAGGCCATATTTTTAATAAATAAACAAGTTATCATTCATAGAACACTACATTTTAAACATTTTAAATCCCAACATTGTTTGTGAACGTCTAACAAAGTTAAATGTATACTCAAACCTGAAAAGTTGTGTGGCTCCGTTTTCATTTGATTATCATTGTACACGACTTGGAGGCTTAGTTGTACCACTCTGTTAGAATTAACCCCGCTGTGTATTACATATTTTAAACCTAGCTAACAGTCGCTAGGAATTGCTGACATGTTTCAAAACGGTGCTATGTTTGAGCCAACAAGACGGTGATTAAGGCAATATAAAGTTAGATTTGGAAACGTATACACCCAACTCAGAAACCGAAAAAAACCTATGATGAAAAAAATTACTTTCATGGTGTCAAAACACTCTTTGTCCAGTATCTTCACGAAATACAATCAAAACGTTCCGCAAATTCGCGGGAGACCGTCTTCTGGCAGCAAGAGAAAAATAGCGGAAAGACAGCCTGCTTGATCCTGACGAACTGTGTAAACGGTGTTACATTTAACCCCGCGTTAACACCTACTGAACACCTATGAGTTTCAGTCAGTGTATTTGATGATTATTCTTTAAAAAAATAATTATAAAGTGCACATTAAGTGTTCTCTGTCTAGATATGTTCATGTGTTCACGTCTTCGTAGTGGCTGAGACAGCTTTAAAAACCATGAGCGTCATGCGTACTTGAGTGTGTACTAGATCTACTAGACGAAACGGCGCTGCTCATTCAGAGACACGCTGAAGGGGCTTGCACACCAGTCTTTTTGCGTTGTATATTCACAGACACGCACATCGCGATTTGATTTAGGCTACTGCATAGCTATATTTTGCTTTATTTATCCATCTATCTTTTTAAATCGCACATTTTACGTGGCATCTGTTTTGTAACGCAAAAAGACGCATGTGTGCGTCTTTTTGACAGACCGGGATTCCCTCAGCATGACAGAAATAATATGGCCTTTAGGTATAAAAGTTATGAATAACCTTTATCTTCATGGAGGGATGGTGTTCCTAAATATGGGAGAACATGTTCGACGTGTTTACTCCTTTTGCAGCCACTCTTCGTCCACATATCTTGCAAACTGGATATCCATTCAAGCACAACATCACGATCGTTTTTCGGATATAAGTTACAAAATATTCCCATACTGCAGATTTTATTTTTTTTTTTTTGGCGGGAGATAGAGATTCGCAGCCTCTGTCTCGGACATTTTCAGCGCTGTACGGATATGGAGTAAGCAGTCAAGCTGAAAGAAGTTGCATGCGGCAGTGCAGGTGAATTCTGTTTTTTTTTTTTTTTTTTTTTTTTTACCGCGGACAAGCAAATGTGCACGATATGATAATCGTACATGTCAATATCGCGATAAACCGTCATACCGGTATACCGTTACAACCCTAATTGTCACAAAGTGGTTGTTCATGCATGGAGTAGGCCTAATAACTTATTTTAACGAAACTGTTTGAGATCGAATTAATGCTAGATGCTTTGATACAGACATGGCATCAGAGGAATATTTATTTTATATTTTTCTCAGTTATTTCACTTTATTTCCAGATTCAATCATAGACTCTTTCTTACAGAGCACATTCGCACATGTGCAGTCTTCAATAACGGTGCTTTAAATCTTAAATCTCTTGACAAACTCAACAACATAAATGACATTTGTATGTATTCTAAATAAAAGACACATACTGAATGTCAGCTTGCTTTTTTTGCTTAAGATAAGGATTTATTAAGTCAACGTCATGCAATCTAGAAACTCTGCTTCAGCTCAAGAGCTGCGTTGAAACCACACAACTTTGTGATGCTGTTTGCGAATGTTCGTTCATTAGAACAATGGTTTCGGGATTCATCGAGTCGTTGAACCATGCTAATAAAGATAGAACTTGCGACCATAAATGGTTAACAATGCTTTCAGGAAACGTATCCCACATTAGGCCAGTCCTCAACTACCACAGGCTCTATATTTCGCCAAAATGGTATAGGCTACCCGAAAATTCTGACAAACCAGAAAAAAAAGATTGCATATTTAGATTTTGCACATGACCATCAGTAATAATTCCCGACAATTTATTACAATCAACCGTTTTATTTACATAATCATACATGTTTTTTACATGTCTATAGCCTACACTCACCAACCACTTTATATAGGGACAGATTTCAACTGCTTATTAAAGCAAAATATCTAATCAGCCAATCACATGGCAGCGACTCAATGCATTTAGGCATGTAGACACGGTCAAGATGATCTGCTAAAGTTCAAGCTGAGAATAAGAATGGGGAAAAAAGGTGATTTAAGTGACTTTGACATTTAAACATGACAAACATTGAAGCCTATAGCAATAGAAGACACACCGGTGTTACTCCTGTCAGATAAGAACAGAAAACTGAAGCTACAAGTCACACGGGGTCACCAAAACTGGACAATAGAAAATGTTAATTGAATTTTAATTAAATAATTGAATAACTTTAATTGAATACTCCTGAACTAGACCAACAAAAGTGACAGGACCCCGAAACTCAGGCCAAAATGAATAATAAAAAAAAATTAGCGAGTTAGGAATGAAACGTCTAGATAAAATATGCAATAAAATGAGAAAAAAAGTGTGTATACTATTGTATCAATGCAAACAGGAAGTGGGTTGACACAGGCAGAAATAATGTGTAAATTTTGATATTATGTGTAATAGATTAGGGCAATGGTCCATTTTAGTGGTGGCCAAATGACATTTTAAAATCAATAAAAATAGAAATGCATATTCCTACTTACAAGTAATTTGATAGCATGCAAGGCTATTTTATAAAAAAAGCTGATACTTATTGTTAAATTAGTTTTTGCATTCTACAGCCTTTCATCAAACTTCTCAGCCCACCTCAAGATTGTTTTATATGCACAAATCATACAAAATAACAGATTAACACCATCTATAGCTAAATTCCAATGAGGTGGGCAAGGCTCAGCCCACCCCTGCCCATGCCTATCCAGCCCGAAGGGCAAGTGTGTGTCAACCCCTCACTTACACTGACTATAAGAAGAGGCGCTTCCTTTCATGTGAGAGAAGAGCACACACAAACATCTCGACGAGCAGCAGGAAGAAGAAACCAGTGCTGATACACCAGACAGAACGAAAGGGTAAGCTTCATCTGTAATTGTATTTTCTGGTCCATGGAATTGGCAGATAAATGAATGATACCATGAATTCACGACCCCAGAAGATATTGAACATAAAACCAGAAAAATATATTTTGATCAACTTGACAAAAGCAATTGATAATGTAGGAAACAGCAGACAACTGTACATAGTTTCATGAATGTACTAAAGTATTTGTTAGTTGTTCAAAAGAACGAGAAATTGCTTTTCATGTAGGCGACTGAGAAAAACTGTAAGACATTAAGCCAACATGCGTACAGATTATCCATGCAAGAACATTCATAAACTTTAAGTGTGGCATGTACAAATATTAAGCGGCCATTATATGCCAATATACATCAGGCCAATGGCCAAACACATTCCCATTGCTCCATGTACTTGACCCAGAACTAAAACACTGAAGCAATCAACTCTATTTTCTGGATGTCCATCAAGATTTTTTTGTTGTAGTTACAGGATTTTTTATTTTTTTTAAAAGGTCAGCTAAATTTAATAGTCATTAAATTTAAACTAATGTAATTTTTCAGTAAAAAAAAAGGCCTATTGTTTCCTCCAATTTCTGTGTAATTCATTGATATCACCTCTGTAAAACCTCGAGCAGGTTTGTGCTAATGTATTTTTTTATTCTGTGCTCAGACAATTTAGAAGATGGGAGTTCATTGGAAAATCCTGTGTTTCCTGATGCTGCTGTGAGTATAAAAAATAATAATTAATGTACGCTATTTTTAATATTCTAAAATTGGGTAGATTGTTGGGGTTTGGTTAAAACAAAAAGGTAATGCTAATTTATATTTATATTAAATACTGATAACCACAAGTGCTCAGTGATAATTTAATATAAAGCTATTTTTACAGGTCTTATCTGCGTCCTCATGTTTTCAGTTTCTTACATTGTTTGTTCATTGTGAATTCCAGTGGGCAGTTTGATGATGTAATGATGTCCTTACCTGCCCCTGTGAAGTTCATTCGGATGTTGTAAAAAAGCAACAGGATTTCACATTAGATTTCATTGTTCACCACTGACGTCAGAATTTCTGCATGCGTTCTCCTCTGAATTCCATTGAAAAGTAGCCTGATTAAAGGCACACTATGCAGCTCTGATGTTTTTGTGAAACAGTGACCCCTAGAGCCGCTGTGGTGTATTTGCACTGTCGTAAATAACCGTTATTCCCCTCTAACTGCTTAGTCTACTGAACTACTGATGATGGTAATAGGTTAATAATAACAATATGTCAAATGTTAAACTACTTTATAATAATAAAGTTGCCTATCGCATTTGCTGGCTTATGTTTTTACATGATTTCTGCTAAATCACAAGTAAATAGCCTATAGTGTAGGACTAATGTATAATTTCATTTGTGTTTTTTGATTGTTATGTAAACATTACAAGATGTCAGATGACATCATTGAAGTTAAATGTACGTCGCATTATTTCATAATATTGGCCGTTATGATTTCATTAGACATGATTGTTACAATGTATCATATTAGTTAGCAAAATGTGAGCAATTACACTATTTACAACCTCTAGGCTTATATATGTCCTAATAATTATGTGAGATATTGACTATGTGCTCATGATAAACGCAGGAATCAACATCAACAGTGTCAAGATTTAATATAAATAAAAACTTTATAAGTAAAGTTACAGTCGGGAAGTGCACTGTTACTAGTCAACTAAAGTTTGTATAAGTACAGGAACTTACGTACGCCATAAGAAAATCCGAACCAGACACAGGACTAAAGTTACGTGATAAATACACATCACAACACTTGAGTTCAGCTGGCAAACTAACTCTTGTGCCAAGCTAGGCAATAAAACATAACGAAAAAAACAAAACTAAGAGAAAGGATTGTTTGTTAGGAAGTCTGCTTACAGCTCTGGTAATCGAAAGCTAGCTAGACATTATGTGGGTATTATAGAACTGGTCTAATTATCAACAGTGGATGAATGAACAGCACCGTAAAAAATTACGTACTAAGCCAGCGCAACAACATACAACACACGCAAACAAGTTTAAAAATAAGAGATTTACTTACAAGTCCATTAACAAGATCGCCAGGTCAGCATCGCTGTTGCATCCAGTGCTGCTTTTAAGCTCGCGCCAACTAGTAAGAGCCTGACCGAGTGTGACTCATGTCCGTTTTTTAGCACGGTCCGATTCTCTTTTCCTTTTTCTGGACATTTCTGACTGAGTTTTCTTGGATGTGCGCAAGTGGCTTCATACAGTATGTTGTTGTTGATGTGTGTGACGACGTTGCCGTAAAGCATTTCGTGATTCTCGCAAGATTTGTCAGGGGTGCCGCTCTCAAACTTGCATTGCTGTTTTTTCCGGCGCCGTCCCTCCCAAGTTTTACTACCAGGATGATTCGCCCTACTATGAGTATATTGTTTACCACCGAAACGACTTTGAAGCTGATATATTAAGGTACAAATCTTGCATAGTGTGCCTTTAAGAGCCTGCCTTCCTCACAAAATAAATTTGATTTATTTTTGGATTCCTCTAGTTTTTTTTACTCTAGGCTGAAGTCTGTTACTGTATTTCCCTTTGCATTTATTCATTTGGCCCTTGGCAGACACTAATTACTAATTAAGCAAATTACAGCGCATTCAAGCCATACATTTTATTGGTGATGAAGAACTTTTTTTTCTTAATTTCTGATTTTCTTCCACAGACTGCACAAGAGTAGTCAACAAGAAGTGTTTAATGATAAGAATACACTAAATCTCCCCGCAAATGATAAAATTGGCTGGATGGAAACTCTAGACGATGACAAGCTCATCTCTACCCTCACTATTCCTGGTACCCATGACGCCTTGGCTCTTTATGGAGGACCATTTGCAAAATGTCAGGCATGGTCACTAGAGGACCAGCTAAAGGCCGGGATACGCTACTTCGACCTCAGAGTGTCTGGCATTGAATTAATAATTATGCATGGATGGATTTACCAAGGTACATCATTGTCAAAAGTTCTCGCCACAGTCAAGACATTTTTAACTCAATTCAGAACAGAGGTAGTGCTTCTCAGAGTTAAGCCTGTTTTTCTTATGAAGAAAAAAGTTCAGGATTTAGTTGAAAAGATAATTAGAAATGATATCTGGATATCTGAACATAGCTGGGTTAAGGAGTCAATTCCAAAGATTGGTGAAGTAAGAGGAAAGATTGTTTTTGTTCAGAAAAACACTTTTAAACTGGGTATTAAGTTGTTTGAAACCGACAAAAAAGGAGACCATGAAGTAACTAAAGTTAAAGACAAAGAGAAAAAGATAACACAGCATCTGAATGAAGCGGCTGATCAATGTAAAACAGGTTCTGCTCTGAGTCTGAGCTACTCGAGTGGCACGAGCTTAGGTACATGGAAGTTGGTTTTCTTATTGCCTAAAAAATTGGCAAAGGAAATCAATCCCTGGTTGTATGGTCATCTTAAAACGGAATTGGGAAAGAAACCCAAGCCTTGTTTTGGGATCATAGCCATGGACTTTCCAGGTATTGACTTGATTCAAATGGTCATCAAATTCAAAAAGGCTACCTAAGATTTTTCAGTTTTCACTTTTTCCACATGGGTTCATCAAGAAATTCATGTTCTCACTGCTTTCATCAGATAATTGAGAATTTTTAAGCTGGCAAATTACATAAAATAAATATTTCCAGTGTGTTATGTTATTTCAATAACAACAATTATTTGTTGTCTTTTGGGTTTGAACAACATTAGCATGAGTTTTTGTGTTAGCATTGTAATTTGTGTTTTTTGTTGGTTTCATGTGTTTGATGTCATGATGTCATGCATTTTATTTTCAACAAATGTTTTAATATAATTACTGTAATAAAATTTAAAGTGCTAGCAAAGACAAATATAGTTTTTGAATGTTTATTTTTTTCAAATGTATTTTTCAAATATACCCCAAGTAATATGTATTATAAATAATGATAATAATAATAATAATTTCCATTTGGACTCAACATGAAGTAACTCCTGTTAGAAAGATTCAAATTATATGAGGTTTGACCTTGATAAAATCATGAGGGGTCGTCTCAGTGAAAGCTATATTTCATATGATTTGTGGTTTTCTTGTCACAACATGGTTACAGTTTTCATGATGAAGACAAAATGTTAATAACTGCATTACTGAGTTACAACTGAGAATGGTCTGGTTTTAACCTGGCTACAGTCTCACCTCAATTCGGTGACAGTTTGGCACGATCCCTCCACCCATTCTCCACTCTTCTAGTCCTAACCATGTACATGGTGGGAGTCCTCTAGGTTCGGGCCGAGCTCGGAGCCCTCCCCCTGGTCAGCTCGCAAAATATGCATTAAACTTTATTCCCTCTAATTGTATGTAAGTGTGAACTCTTTAAATGCTGATAAAAGAACATTTGTGTATGTTATCTGAACACGTTCAACGGCATTTCTGTCTAGTGATATGCTCATTTTTGCATGTCATATCTTGGAGAGCAGACGTTTGGTCAGCTAAGTTTTTATCCTGACCATACCTCAAAAAATACACAAAAAGTTAAAATGTCAAATTAAATTAATTGCATGAAAACTATTAAACGCACGTAAAATGTATTAAAATTATTTCAATTTAGTCTTTAAATCATATGATTTGTGCTGTCATTGATGGAAAATCAGTTTGCTTATAGGACTTATAACAGTAAAGGAAGAACACAAAGTAACCCTAATTATTTACTAAATGCATTTTAGTTGTCCAAAAGCATTTTTGGAGTTCAAGAAAAGATGAATGTACTTTAAAGTATTCAATATACTTGTTTCTGCTAAAGTGGAATTAGCAGAAATGCTTTGAAATGCAGAATTCACTCAGTAAAAACTTGATGGATTTTGGTGACATTACAATGTCAAATCAATTACAGTAGAGTGTTGAACATACATTAATATTATACTGCAAAACACATTGCAATGGCATTTCAAGTACACTTAAAGTGTGCTAATGGTATCATTATCGTGTGCTTCAAAAGGGCTATAATAAAGTAATCAATTTTTTTTTTATAAATAATGGCACTGCCATTAATAAAACCACATGCCCCGGTATACCAGTAACTTGCTTATCAAGAGAACATCAGTGAGACAATGGGAACATATATACTGTATGTCCATTGAATGTACTTTAAAAAAAATATTGTTGGTTTAACTTAAAAAAGTAAGTAACCTGGGTTGCCTTAAAATTTTAAGTTGGTTGAACTGGAAAAAGTGAGTTAATACAATGAAGGAGATTGATTTAATCATCAGAAACTCAAAATAATAAGTTATCTCAACTAAATAAATTAATATAAAGTTGATTTGACAAAAGAAAATATGTTGTGATAACAAATCTTGAAAATATTTTTTTTACAGTGCATAGGAAGCACAAACCCCGGGTCACTGCAACATGAGCTCTATCTATTTCACAGTTGCGCCACCACTGACATTCATCACACAAAAACTATTTGTTCCAATTTAACAGACTTTAAAAAGACCAATTTATAGAGTACCACACATACATTTAGTCATAGTAAATAAAATACACATAAATTATGCTATACTATTTTTTCACTTTAGGGAAGAAAGTATCAAAATACTTTTTGTCTTCATTATAAATAGTATGTCTATTGTTTATAAAACCTTACAAACTTAGTTTTATGTATAATAGTTTGATTGTGAAGCCTATGCTCTTTAAAATAAATTTCTTGTTAAATGATGCAAAGACAACAATACAATTTTAAGTGTTGCTTAAATGTCCAAATGTATTGGTCATTTTACTGCATATGCAAATACCTATAAACCAGTAGCCAATCACATGATATCAATGAGTTCTTAAAGCTCACAGACAGAACTCTACCTGTAAAGGCTGCTGTGATCGGCACTGGTTTCTGGAGGTCCATCAGGAAGTGTGAGGTATTATTCTTTTTACTATCTTTTTTCATGAATCAGTAACAATTCTTTAAATAAGTTAAAAACATTTAAAGCCATGACAAATATTGAAATAACTTAAATGTAAAATGATTTTATTTTATCTGTCAAAAAACTTTAATTTAAATGCAGTTTTTTATTTTTTTATTCTGTTTGAAACTTAGACAATGAAGAATACGGGAGTTCCTGGGAAAATTCTGTGCATCCTGATGCTGATGTGAGTATGAAATAACAATTTAATGTGTGTTTATTTTATTTTTATTTGCTAAAATTGGTGGGTTATTATTGGATAATTTAAAAAGAAAACCATGATCGTCAAAGGACTGATTCATGAAATTAATATAAATCCATAGGTCTCATATACGGAAGCATATTGCATTCCCCTGAGGAAAAAAAAAATTCTACTCTGTTTTCTGAATTAACGAGTTAATTATCTCAGAATTACAAGATAATTTTTCATTTTCAAAAAAAAAAAAATGTTTGTCAAGAAAAAAATAAATCTCATAATTAACTCGTTAATTCAGAAAAACAGAGCAAAAACTTTTTTCCATGAAAAATGATCTTGTAATTCAAGATCAAAAAAGAGAAGATTTTTTTCCTCAAGGGAATGCAATATGCTTATACCTATCCTTGTTCTTTTTTTTTCTTTGATATAAATCTTTTGAAAAAAAAGGGAAAGTACAAAGGATTGTACTGATTTTATTTTTTGGTGGCTTGTATAGAGTTTCATCGACTAAACGTGACACACGTATAAATTCTTCTCCCCCTTCACCCCCTTCCAAGATTTGAGAAGCACCCTCTGTCGCATCCTGTCACAGTAAACTGGCCTGTCAATCATCTTGTCAGAAGATAAAATCCTCCACATTTCATTGTATTTAATTTCCAACCAGGAGAGAAATGCTGTTGATCTGCAGTCGCAGGTCTTTCATGCGGAGACTCTCCTCATATTAATGCATGATTCATTAAAAATTAAAATGGCCAAACGGATCTTTATAAAAATCAACATTGTTGTTGCAGATGAAATTTAACACGGATAACATTTAATATTTTAGGTATATATTTCAGGTTGAACCTTGATTAGTCACTCAAACCTTTATCTATTCTAAACCGCTCGCCGTCGATATCCGTCATGTTTTGTAGTTTTCTGAACGTTTTTTTATTCGTGTTTGTAGTTCTATACCGGATCTTCCTCCAAAGTGCAATGGGTTGTGAGCAATATTAGCTGTTAGTGTGACCACGCATCCATACTTCGAAAATCCACCGAAGACAATGCAGGCACTATACTATTTTCGGCATACTAGGCTTTGGGACACACACTTATGGACATTGAGACGCAGGGTTTTTTTTACCATCATGGACTTTTTATTTATTTTCACCCTGTCTTCCTTTGTTCAGTTTTCTGCTCTATAGTTGTTGTGGCAAGGTATATGATTAGTTTTCAGTTTAGCTGTGTCATTAATTACCCCTTTTAAAGGACAACTCCGGCGCAAAATGTTGGTCTAGTAACACATTGGTGCCTAGCCTAGTCAACCATTCTCTGAGATTTGTTTTCATGATAATCGAATGTAAAGTGTTTTATCTGACTTGACATGATATTCTGATTTTCTTCCCCAGACTGCACAGGAGTAGTCAACAAGTGTTTAATGATGAGAAAACACTCATTCTCCCTAAAAATTATCAAATTGGCTGGATGGCAAATTTGAATGATGAAAAGTTAGTTACTGAGCTCACTATTCCTGGTACACATGACTCCTTGGCTCTTCATGGAGGACCGGCAGCAGAATGTCAGGCATGGTCACTAGAGGACCAGCTAAATGCCGGGATACGCTACTTCGACTTGAGAGTGTCTGGGGACAATCTGAAAGTTGTGCATGGACCGATTTCCCAACATATAACATTCGACCAAGTTTTAAACGGAATAAATAATTTTTTATCTTTACACCCAACTGAGACAGTGCTGGTTAGAGTTAAGCATAATAAAGTATTTCCAAATCATGTTATAACCAAACTTGAACAGAATACTAATAGTTGGGTTAAAAACACAATACCAAAAATTAAAGAAGTAAGAGGGAAAATTGTTTTCGTTCAGAAAAAGACCTTTACACTAGGTCTTCCTTTATATGAAACTGATAAAAAGGGTGACTATAAAGTTAAAAATATTGAAAAAAAGGAAGAAACAATTTTTGCCCATCTGAATGAGGCTTTAGAAAAGTGTAAACATGAGACTGCTGTTTTGAACTATTCAAGCGGCACAGGCTGGCCTTTATTGAAGCTAGACAAAACCCCTAAAAATGTGGCAAAGAAAATCAACCCGTGGCTATATAACTATCTTATTGGTGCTTTTGAAAAGAATTTGAAGAGTTGTTTTGGGATTATAGCCATGGATTTCCCAGGCTTTGATTTGATACAAATGGTCATCAATTTTAATAAGTAGGTATTTAAGTCTGTCAGTTTTACATTTAGGCCTACATTTTGTACTTTAGCATACAATAGTGGGACAGCCTATTCTGTGGGACAATAGTTGGACAGCCTATTCTGTTGTCAAAGACAAAGCATTTTAATCACAGCCTTATATTTTCTGATCTTTTTTTTCTGGTTGGGGAGCTTTTTTCTTCTTGCTTTTAAACCATGTATTGACAATGCAGCTCAGCTGAATAAAATTGAAAAATGAAAAACAGAAAAAATTCTGTTCAAAACTGATTTATTGAGTTATGTGAAATACAACACTATCCATATTTCCACAGTCAGACAAAGATTTTAATATTAAGAGGCGTACTTCATTTCCAATTATGCGCAACTGCCAGCAAACTCTGACCATGCCATGCGCACAAACATTTTGGAGACGGAGCAGTTTGGCGACACCGATGTCGAGCTGAGGGATTGGCGTCAGATGAAGGAAAACCACTTTACGTGTACAAGTGATCAGTTCCATACAGCAAAATATCAATAAATATAACCAACAGTGTGAACCGAGGTCAGCAAAAGTTAGGGTTTCCCCTATCACCCCTCTCTCCTCCATCTGAAGAACAGGTGATATCCCAACTATATGTGACTAAAGATTGTGAGCACCCAAAAAAGGGGCATGCTTTACGATGCTATAAAGTACCCAAAACCATACAGTATAGAATGCAGCATCCCTAATGAACCTCCTCTTCAGGTTAAGGGCACGTTGTTCTGCAATCCTGCGATTGTTTGGCGTGTTCAGGCTTCTGTTCTTCAAAAGTAACGCATTACTGTAATGACCATCAACAAGCTTCACAGTCTTATTATTAGCCATTTCCAGAAACTTATTCTTCTCTTGACAGCTCTGTCTGTTCCTGACTGCATTCTGGAAAGTGAACAGATGTTTCCAGAGCTCTTCTAATGTAACAGAGATATTCTGTTTATGGTAACAAACTGACATTCGGGTTCATCACAATATTCTTCACCGAGTGGCACATTAACAATCTTGATGGCATATGGTCCTTCATCCATACCCCGGATGACTTCCAGTGGTTCTAATGTTCTTGGAACATTTATATATTTAGATCATTTTATGTAGTTAATCAATCACACGAAGAGTGACATTTCAGTTTTTCTCCTCCAAAAATCAGCAGGATTAAAACTACAACAGTTTAATAAACAATAATTTACAAACTACAAAATATTGCAGAATAATGTAATATATATATATATATATATATATATATATATATATGAATGAATATTAGCCTATAAAGAACCTTATTTGTCATATAGAATCTTTTTAGTTTCATATATAGAACTCCAATGAACCCTTTTTTTCTAAGAGTGTGTTCAAAGGATCAGATGAAAGCAAGGTAGTGAATCGCCATCAAATATTTGGATGTCGCAGGTAATGATGAGAAGCCATAGGTTGCTTCACCAGCATTTAAGTTAGCTCATTTTGTTTCTCCATTATAGATAACAGTGGATTGTGTCATTGCTGCCATCCACAGTGATGAGATACTGTCTTGAGGGGCTACTGCTGGCGCTGTGTGTTCTCATTAGCTCTGAGGCCCCCTGGTGGAGATGGAGGAGAGAGGGGGTGATAGGGGAAAGCCTAACTTTTGCTGACAAATATAGGCGTCTATCTGAAACTAAAACCTTGAAGTAGACGCCAAGAGGCTGAACAGGGAAAAAAGCTGTCTGTCAGACTTTATCTATTAAAACATTAAAGAAAAGATGCATATAGCCTATTAATGAATATAAAAAAAGCATCTTAACCCGTAAATAGATATAATTTGTAATGTAGTAGTAATTTGTAAATTTAAGCTATTTTGACCTCCTGGAAACGTCACGTCGTGAAACCCCAGTCTCGCAATAGGCTACTACGTAATATCTCTGTTGTTACTTGAAGTTTGTCAATAAAAATAAATAAATAAAAAAATAGGTAATACCAATACATAGCAGATAGATGGCGCTGTTTGAATGTATACAATAATCAATTATTTACAGTGCATTTCAAATTCGTCATAAAACCATGAAATCTCTCTTTTATATGATTCAACATTGTGGAGTGATGGTAAGATTGGTTACTATTAGCAATAAAAACATTGCTTACATCTCCAATATTAAACAATAATTCAGCTTACCATGAACAAGAACAATCCTGTTATACATGTTTGAAGGCTATGAGGAAGTCACTTAGCCTACGGGAAAAAACAACAACTCCGCCTTAAAAACCCCAACAGAGTCGTGCCATTTTTATTCTGGACTGAGACTCGCATAGACGTGCCATTAAAGCAAGGTGAGTTTGAGTTAACACTGTGTTAATAATGTGATGTAATATAATGAGTTTAAAAACAACAAGACAATAATTGTAATATTAATTAACAAAATGTGAATGGTTAAACAGCCTGCAGCACCACAACTTTCTTATACAGAAAACATAAGTAGATGGATTAACTCCTAACTTGATTCAGGTCTAAATTTGTTTCGATAATTAAACATAGTCATCTTTTGTATTTACATAGGCTACTATCATTTTTTATAATTAAAAGGATTTTTAAAGTGTTAAATGTCTATGCTTTGTATCCTCCACACCTGATATTATGAATGTATGTACTTACAAAAATGATGACCAGTAATCATTTGTTGTCCTTATTGTTTTATGCAGTAAACAAACAGGAGGATCAGCTATTGTTACCTGTGGAAAGCATGTCACTGACAGTGTCTCAGGGAGAGGGTTTGACGGTCATCACCGTCTCCTCAAACCCAAAGAGCAAATGGCCCGTACTGTGTCAGATCCTGAGACTTCTGTGCTGCAGTCCAGTGTGTTCTGTATCTCAGAATATGAAAGGAATGCTGACAAACATTCACACAGCTCTTGGGGTGAGTCAGCCACTTGATTTTCAGGCCTTGTCATTTTGGATAGATTTATACCTCAGTTTCACAGACATAGGCATAAATTAAGCCAGGAAGGATTAAGCCTTAGTTCATCTGGGCATTTAAGTAGCTTTTATAAACATGCCTTAGAAAAAAACAAATTTCTAGTGAAACAATGGCACTAATACTGTATATTTTAGGTCAGTGAAATTTTCTTTCAGTTAAAACAACTCAAACATGCATTGTAGTCTGGGATTTGTTTAAACATTCTCTCTGACACCGGGTAAGATACATACAAGATTTAAGATTCTTAAAAATGTTTTGCGACATTTTAAATTTGGTTACAGTTGGTTTTATCAGTACAATGTATTAGACACATTTTTAAAAACACCTAATCAAACGAAAATATAACATGCCGTTTTCGGATTAGTCAACATTATTAGTACCTAGCTGCAACTTTTAGAAAAGTTATATTTCTGCTGCATATATTTATGCAATCTAATTCAATTTATTCAAACAAAATACAAGAAGTCATGAAGTAATTGTCCACAGTGAAAGCAAATATTTGATTAGTTGGCTTACAATGTCATTGTGCAAAATAAGAATACACCTAATATTCTTATTTTAAGGTTCTTGATAGCTGGTGGCATAAAAATATTGTTCTCTTTTTCCATAGATTGTGCAGATGATAGTTGGTGTCCTTAATATTGTGGTGGGGATCATATTTGTGTGCGTTGGCTTATACTGGAACATGGCAATAATGGCCATGGGACCCTTTTGGCTCGGCAGTATGGTAAGACTTGGGTCTCATTTTGTAACATTCTTTTGATTTATCGCAAATTTTGAAAAGAAAAAAAAATGCACAGATGTTTTTGTTTGTTTGCTTTTGTCTATTAGTTCTTTGTAGGTGGAATCGTGTGTATTCTTGCAGGCAAGTTTCCCTCCTCTTGTCTGGTAAGTTTCTATCAATGGAATATGTGTTTTTGACACTATCAGTTTTGCAAGTTTATTCATAAATATATGCATATATACTGTATATATTGTTTGTGTTTTACAGCTGGTCATCGGAATGATTCTGAATATAGTCTGTGCTGCACTGGCTATCACAGGTGTTGCGCTGTATTCAGTGGACTTTACGAATAATCATGCTGGATACTACTATGAGTCTTCTTGTCCCGAACTCTACAATTCTTATTCAGACTATTCTGGCTATAGTAGTTATGAGCGTTACCGAACGCCTACCCCTGAAGAGAGAAGTAGAACAGAGACCTGTCTGTACTACAAGAATCTCATTGAGGTAATGATTCTTTAGATGGCGGTAAGGCAAGTTACTGCTCATCAAATCTTCATCACTTCATACTCAGTTTACGGATTAGTTCTTTTCCAAAAACGCAAAAGGTCTCTTTCTTTCCATGTAATGCCAAGCACCAAAATGACAAAAAGCACCATAGTCGTTCATAAATGATGCACTATATTCCAGATCTCCTGAATAGGGATTTAAATTACAGGCTTTATGGATGATTTTCCTTTTAATAAGTTGACACTAAAAAGTTCAAAGTCCCTTTCAAGGAAAATACGTTTACTCAGCAGCCATTTTTGCAATGTCTCTGGGCAACTATAGAGTGCAACAACAAAGCCTGTCCACTTTTTCAGCACCAGTGGTTCCAGAAGTATTTTGATTTTTATTGATTTTTAAAAAGTATTTGTTAAAGAGCAATAAAGCCATGAACCAAGTCAAACAGCTACGAGTTGAATCATAACATAATACAAACTTTGATTTGAAGCAAAAAAGTATTTGAAAAGCAGACAAACGGTACAAGACTGTTGTTAACGTCTTTAATGAGGGAAAGAATTACAATTCTTAGAAGCATTGTGAACAGTATAATCAAATTATATTATAAATTTTAAATTGTAGTATAATCAAAAATGGAGAAAATATAAAACTACTAATTTAAGATTGTATAAAAATAATTGATTTTAAGTTTATAGCAAAATATGCAGATATACACATATTTAAGTATTTTTTAGAGCGTAGGGAGACCGACTCGGTTTAGTCATTCGAAGTGTTTCATGGGAGTGGGCGGAGCTAAAGAGCTGTTTTGGAGCATTTTGTCTGTTTCAACTCTCTGATTGGTCATCAAAGGTAATGTAGTTTTTCACCACGGATTCGTCTGTTAAAAATGATTACTTTCAAAATAAGATGCAATAATGTGTGGGCTGACCGCACCAACAGAAGCAAATACCATCGATTAACAACCTTGTAGCTCATAGTAGGTGTAACTTTAAAGGTTTATAATTTACCATTGAAAATCAGTTTCCCCATGGAAAAAATGTATGGAGTTTTTCTTTCTATTTCGGGAATCCAAGATAAAGTCTTATTTAGATAAATCTATTGAAATCTCTTAAAACCACTCGTAACACTCGCTTTTAAAAATCATTTTTCAAATTAGATGGCAATTGACTCTTAGATTTGCAACTGGCAATTTCTCCCATTCATAAATAATATGAGTGCACCGTTTTATGTATCTAAAATCTTTATATTTACCTACGGCTAGATGGCCTTCAGAGGAGTGGATATCATGATGATAGTGTTGTCAGTCCTTCAACTCTGTGTGAACATCAGTTTCTGTGTTTTGACTGGGAAAGCTTTGCGCAAGAAGGATGAAGATGCAAAGGTACTGTATCATCATCATCAACACTATCAGTCAAATCCACTGTGATCATGACGGATTCTGAGAGCTGCATGTGTGTTCATGTGTGTTTGTGTTTTTGCAGTCGGTGGAGGATCCAGAACTTCACAAGCCGCTCCTGGAAGACGTCACTGTTGCTCCTGCATGTTAAAAAGAATAACACACATGCAACAAACAGTTATTAATATGATTATTTTTTGTTGTTGTAATGGAATGGCATTAGATGTCTCAATATTGTAGTGAAATGATTTAAAAACAGATTCTGTACTATCTGCAACACTACTCATTAAATTACATGTTTAGTTAGACTTATATTTTCCCCTTTAAAAAGTTGATCTCTCTCTATACATATTAATGGGTGTTAACTTTTATTGCCATTTTCAATTTTGTTGCGATCTTTGGGCTGTTCTTTTTTTTTTTTTTAAATAAATGATTAGAACACTTTGGCATCAAACCTTTTTGTGTATTTATACAACCTCCCTATATCTTTCACTTTGTAGAACAATTAAAAAACGTATACGTATTTATTTCACAGATTGCTTTTATCTAAATCAGTAGTTTGTAAATTGTCAGGCCAAGTACCACCAAAGATCTTCCCTTTCGAAGATATCTAAAGTCTGTAGTTCCTCCTTTAATAAAACCAAAGTAACCAAAGGACTTGAGCACAGAATTAAAAGGATGGTTCACCCAAAAATGTCAAACTGAGCTTGACGACAGTCATACAGTAGTAAATCTTCTAGTAGCTGAGCTAAGACAAATCTGAATCACCCAATTCCTCAAAAACGTTGAAATATTTTGTCCCGTTGCTTTAATGGACTCTCTATGGGCTTCTCCCTCGACTTTATGCCTCCATGTCCCCCCCAATTGCCTTATAGACAGTAAAGATTGCCTGAGAGCTTCTCCTCCTGTCTATACGGTAATGTCTCTATTGTGCGACAGAAAGTTGCGTGCTTATGACTTTAGCCAATTTTTACAAAAACTGCTTCTACAGGCCCGTAACGTAAGTGTCACGATTCCTGTCTTGTGTTTTCCTTGTCTTGTGTGGACGTTAGTTATTTCCTGTTTGGTGCCATGTTTTGTAGTCCTTTGTAGTTTTTCTTGTTGATTAGTTCCCCCAGGTGTTTCTGATTTGCCACGCCCCCTTGTTCCCTTGTTTAGCTTGTTTCTCTGTGTATTTAGTTGTTGGGTGTCGGTCGTTGTTTAAATGTTTGCTGTTTCTAAGTTCCTGTTCTGAGTTCCTGTTCTTCCCTGGATTCCCTGTTAGTTTTGTAATTATTAAAAGTGCTTGCATTTGGAACTATTCTCCGCTTCATTCCTGCCTGCAGCATAACAGTAAGATACAAAGTAAATAATGGACAGATTAATTCTTTGGATGCCTCAGATGTAAAGTTATTCACTGTCAAAGTGACGCCAAAATGAATGGCAGTCAATGGGATGCTAACAGCAGGTGAAGTTCTGCTACAATGGCGGCTCCCGCAAGGCTTCAATTTCTGGTTTACCCCCTTGGAAATGACGACACTTAATGCTCATTGGATAAAAAAAAAACAATGATAAAAAATGTATTGTTCTCTTAAAAATGTTTCATTTTAAAACTCTGTTTTATGTGTTATGTAGATACAAAAAAATGCAATATATATATATATATATATATATATGAAGAGTTCAGATGCAAAAGCCTCTAAATGCCATTTGAAATTTTCTTCTTTAATGATGATTTTTATCAAACTTGTATATTTAAGTTCAGTGATTTCACTTAAATGGCAATGATAATTACCTATTAATTGTTATTTAAGTAAAATTACTGAACTTAAATATACAAGTTTGATAAAAATCATCATTAAAGAAGAAAATTTCAAATGGCATTTAGAGGCTTTTGCATCTGAACTCTTCATATATATATATATATATATATATATATATATATATATATATATATATATATATATATATAAAAGGAATATATATTTGAGTGCTTTCTCTCATAAAACTATTACATCCCCCGCCCCGATTAGCATTGAATCATCATTTTTCAAGCACCACCCAAGCCCCCGCCCCCATCTCATATTTTTTTCACCCATCATATCCCAATATATAATAATATAACAATATATATAAAAGGGGGCTCTGTAAAATCCATAGACTGTAAAGGTAAAATCCCAATCAACAGTCCAAAAATGACCCACAAAGTAGATCAATTATAATATAGTTTTTAAAAAACTTTTTGCACATAAAAAAGTGCAAGTAGCCTAGACTCTTCTCAATTCAACCAACCACACTGTGCAAATGTGATGGAAGCAGTTACATCTCGATGGAAGTTCCGACAACCACAGAGAAACACGCAAGTGATTGAACAGAAAGCGATCATGTGATTTCTGAAAACAGCTTGCCTCAATGCATTGCATTGGAGCCTCTGAGAGATACGTTTCATTGATGCGTATGTGTGTGCCTATTTGTTAATGATCGTCAACATTTGTATGTCTTATACTTGGCGTCATGACTGTTATTTAAATTTCAAGTGGAACAAGGAAATGGGAAACTTATGAGAAACACAGACAGGGACAAAACAACCCAACCTTTAAAGTCAACTCTAGCTCAGCCTGGATTTGAAGTTGCAAAAGTTAAGGTGTGTGTTTTTTTTGTGTTTTTTTTTGTGCGTGTGTTTCTTAAAATCTGTGAAATGCACACTAGCTACTTAAAAAAGTACAATGTAAAATGTAAATAGTTAACAGTGACTTGAATCTGAACAACTTGATTTAATAGCAAACATTCGCAGGTGAAAGTTCACTTCCTAGTTAAAAAAAATAAGCACGTTGATGCAGTCGACGAGAAACCGACATTCAACAAAGCTTTTGAATAATTATGAATATTCCAGTTGAGAATGTGAAATTAAATGTTATGAATTCACATAACTATCATAAGAAAATTTTAATTTGGGTGGTTGTGCATGGCCGACTTGTTTCTCTTGTCTTTACCTTGTCGTGGGCAGGTGGAAGAATCGCTTTCATCTGCGCATCATGTCTCTGACAGTGTCTCAGGTTGAGGGAATGACGGTCATCACTATCACCTCAAACCCAAAGAGCAAATGTCCCGGACTGTGTCAGATTCTGGTTTCTCTGTTCTGCAGTCCAGTGAGTTTTGTATCTGAGGATATGAAAGAAAAGCTGACAGACACCCAGAGAACTTTTGGGGTGAGTGAGAAACTTGCACTGACTGAAATCTTGAGAAAAAAAAAAAAGATTTAAGATGCTTAACAATGTTCCTGTATGTATTTGGTTTGGCATAGATTAAAAGCTGGAGGTCCATCAACTAGCACAAAATATTGTTCTCTTGTTTCATAGATTATACAGAGAGTAGTTGCAGTCATGAATTTGGTATTGGGATGTATTGGCTTCATCTTTTATATGACTTTTGGGTGGGCCAGCAATATGGTAAGTTTTTTAATGTTTCTAAATCAGTTCATGCTGTAAAATGAATGAATGTGTGTGTGGTACAGGTATATCATACACTATAGGAACAACAAAATGTTCCCACAAAGATGGGAATATCCGAAATCCTTGTCTTTGTGGAGACATTTTTTGTTCCCTTTGAGGAAAACAGCTTATAAGTCATATTAAATTATGTATTTTGTTTGTGAAAATGTAAAAAAAAAAAAAAAATCATAAAGTTTTCTGTGATGTGTAAGTTTAGTGTAAGGGGACAGAATAAACAATTTAAATCGCGCCTTGTGTTTGATTCACTGATTAATTACAACGTTTAACCATCATAAAGTGAATATTTATAATTTGCATACGTGTTTTGTCTCGACAGCGAAAAAAAAAAAGAGAAAAATAACTCAATTCAGTGTGCGCGCTCTGGTTTCTCTGCACACAGCCGCAAACTAGGGGTCGAACCACCTCAGATGTTTTTAAGTCGACATTCATGATTAAAGTCGAGTCGACTAGTCGCTGTTGACGTCATTAATGTACAAATAAGCCTGAACCTCGAGCTAAGACTCTAGGGTTGTGTTGGACACAGTTATGGTATATGATTCTGGCTCAAGGCTGTTGCTCATACATAAGTTCTTTTGTCTTTGGGTTGTTATATTTCTCACAGATTTCTGCTCTTTCTAAATCATACACAGATAAGGTGGCACAGTAAAGATTGCATTTATATGAATGCATTAGTGAGAGAGCAAATGAGTGTGAATTAATTCTTCCTGGCAGCGTCTCTGTACTAATATAGTGAAGCTGTGGGTTTTAATTAGCCTACTAAGAAATTGATGCTAAAACTTTTCAGTTTCTAAGCTATTTTATTGATAAATCACAGAACAGTGTTGACTAAGTTTCTGAATGTTTTTATGTGCGTGCGATCTGGACGTAATATGCGAGCTACTTTATTTAACTATATTGTATTTATCAATACTTATAATTAGTTAATTTGCTGATCTGAAAAATAATCCGTGACTCACCGTAATATGATCTGAACCGTGAGTTTTGTGATCTGTTGAACCACTTGGCGTATATTCATTACTGAATAACAACCTCATTTTTTGTCGGTTAGTTGGATTTATGACACTTTAGTTTTTCTAAATTTCGGATTTTGACAGCACCTGTCTCCTTTACTTTCCTTATTTGTAAAAATGTATTAAATTCCACACTGAAAGAAATAGTCACAGGTGTGTGTAATGACCAAGTTATTGTTTAAATTCACATTTTTGCCTTGATTAGAGCTAGTGTTCAATTTGTATTTTAATTGGTTTTCTTTTAATGATTTTACACACTGATCTTTTTCTCTAGGAGTCCTTCGGAGGACTAAATATGACAGTGATGGTGTTGGCGATTCTTCAGCTCTGCGTGGCTGTCAGTTTCTTGGTTCTGACTTTAAAATCTTTGTTCAAGAGGGGTGGGAGTGCAAAGGTACAGTATCATCTCCACAATTAAAGCCTGTTCAAACCGAGCACAATAACTATGACGATAACTATAAAATGTATTGATCATTCTAAATCTATGAGAATGGGAAAGTCTAAAGTCACAGCTGGACAAATAGCAACACACAGGAACAAACAGTGATACTGATGTAGAGTATGACTCCACTAAGAGAGACTTTGTGCTTTGTAACTTAACTTTGCAGAGCTTCATGCTCAAACTGCAACATTACACACTACAGAAAGATGAAAATTTAAAAAAGCTTGAAAATTTAAAGCAGCAGAAGACATACCACTGCACGCTTATGATTAATAGTCTGTTGGTGTGGACGCTGTATGGTTATCTTTATATCATTATCATTTCTCCACAGTTTCAAAGGGCTGCTTGTGTGTTCATTTTTGTTTATGGTTTCACAGTTGGTGGAGAACAAAACTTCCGAATCCAGAAATGGAATATGCCAATATCCATTTCCATTTGTTCACAGCTGTAACATGACTCTTACAGTGTCTCAGGTGAGCGGCTGACATCATTACCTCAAACCCAAAGAGCAAATGGCCCATACTGTGTCAGATTCTTTGTACTTTTTGCTACGGTCCAATGAATTCTGTATTTCAGGATATTACAGAGAAGCTGGCGGACACACACAAAGCGCTTGGAGTGAGTTAGATATTTTTTTTTATATGATCAGATTTACAAAACCCTTCATACTAGGTGTTTTGTCATGTGTAAAACTGTTACAAACATTGTTCTCTTGTTCCATAGATGCCACAGATAATAATCGGTGTCATGAATATCACAATGGGTTGTTTTGGCTTTGTTTCTTCTTTTTGGATCGGTGGTGTGGTGAGACAGATTTTTCATTCTGACCATTTTTTTGTTTCTAAATGATTGAGCAAGTAAATTACTGTACATATAACATTGATCTTAGTTAAAGGGATACTCCACCTCTGGAAAGATGATTGTGTATTCAAAATGGGTCATTTATGTAGAAGAAATGTGACTGAGAAAAGCCAGAAAATGTATTTTTGGCTTATGTGGATGAAAGACAACAACTCCCAGAATGCACTTGCTTCGCTGCCCTAGGAGGCCACGCCTACCGGTAACAGAGCGCAGTAGTTAAACAACAAGTCTAGGCTACTAGTGAGTCTCGTGATGAGTCTGCCCGAAAATGTGTTTCGAGATCGCCCAAAATGCCCTGGATTCGGCTTTTGCGTTCTACAGCCGTCATTCATTATGTTTACTGTGGCGAGCGGGACGAGTGAGGGCCGCGAGAGAATGGCGCGAGAACTAGTGCTTGTAGTCTTTACAGAAATCCCCCCTCTAACACTTCCACCTACAATGATGTAAAATGACGGTCAATAAGGGATCTCTCTCGTCTCAGGGGGAAATGAGAGAGTGTTGCACGACCATTCAATAGGATGACTGGATTTCTAACAATGGAAATGGGTGGAGTGTCCCTTTAAGGACATGTGGCTTTCAGAATGCCCTACATTTATTTCTTTATTTTTGCATTTATTTTTTATGATATTTACTAGAATGAAGTTTCATAATTCAAAATTGACATTTTGATCATTTCAAATCAAGCATGTTTGGATTGACCAGACATTGTTTGCTTTGCCTTTTAGTTCATTGTTGTTGGAGTCATGTGTGTTCTTGCAGTCAAGTTTCCTAGTCCTAGGCTGGTAAGTGTGAATCAAGAGTTTTTTTTTTTTTTTTTTTTACTGAGCATCAGTCATTTCTATTGTTTGTGTTTTATAGCTTGTGTGTCTAGTGATTCTGAACATCATCAGTGCTGCACTGGCTATCACTGCTGTTGTGCTGTATTCAATGGACCTGCCAATGGAAAACAGTTTAGACTGTCCTTATCCTCATTATTATTCTTATCGGCGTGACTTTGAGACCTGTTTGTACTACCGAGATCTCAAACAGGTAATGATTTGATTTATTTATCTTTTTCACATGGTGTAAAAATTATATATTTTTTTTAATAATACACTGTTGTTCTCCTCTAGATAATCGTCGGAGGACTGGATATCATGATGATAGTGTTGTCGGTCCTTCAGCTCTGTGTGACCATCAGCTTCTGTGTTTTGACTGGGAAAGCTTTTTGCAACAATGATGATGCAAAGGTACTGTATCATCATCATCATCATCAACACTATCAGTCAAATCCACTGTGATCATGAAGGATTCTGAGAGTTGCATGTGTGTTCATGTGTGTTTGTGTTTTTGCAGTCGGTGGAGGATCCAGAACTTCACAAGCCGCTCCTGGAAGACGCCGCTGTCGCTCCTGCATGACATGAGTGATAAAGACAAACACATATTTTTATTTGAACACATTTTCTTTGTTTTTGTAATTGAAAATGAAATGATTCATGTTACATATTTTAGTATTTTCACAAATAAATGTGGTTATTTTTGAAAGAAAAGGGCAGCTTTTTAAAATTAAAGGATATTTTGAATACATTCTTTTTTTTATTTAGATCAAACCTTCCTGCTCTTTGTAGAACATTTAAAATTGTCCAAGGAAAGTTGCCACATGTAAATTCATCAAGCTACCAGAAGGTATCCAAAGAATGTAATAGTGTTCTTTTAAAGTGTGCTTCTGCTCTTTAAAATAAATTTAACTAATGACACTTTTGTGTGGTGATGGTGCAGTGGATAAGACACATGCCTTTGGTGTGAGAGACCTGGGTTCGAATCCACTGTGAGACACCAATGTGTCCCTGAGCAAGACACTTAACCCCTAGTTGCTCCAGAGGCGTGCGGCCTCTGACATATATAGCAATTGTAAGTCGCTTTGGATAAAAGCGTCAGCTAAATATGTAAATGACAGACAATTTTACAATTTATGCAAAGATTACTTTTTTAATAACTGGAAATAAACTGATTTATTAAGTATTGGAAACGTGGTTTACATATGTTGCCGGGTGATTGGTTTGTGTTCATACTGAAAATTATGATTAATTATTGTGCATTTGTTTTCATCAGCAATGTTTGTCTTTTGTGACATCAGACTATAAATTTGGTTTCTTTAAATTTCAAGAACAGCAACATTCCAATTGAACTATCGAAACTTGAGCATTATAAGAATCACTGTCAGATCCGCCTTCAACAATCCAGGAGAGAGTTAAAGGGATAGTTCACTTTGAAATGAATTGTTGATATGTTTTAGCTTACCTCAAGGGCATCCAAGATGTAGGTGTCTTTGTTTCCACAGTGTTTTTTAATTTTGATATTTTTAGGTCGAACTGTTCTTGTCTGTCAGTCATGTAATGGAGGAGGTATATGGGGTCCTCCTTAAATAGCATGCACAGAGAAGTCCAAATTAAACATGATTTAATGACTCGTAAATGTAAGTACACATTGATGGCTTAAGACACAAAACGAGCGGTTTGTGTGAGAAAACGAACAGTATTTATATCGTTTTACCTCTTTTAACCACAGCCACGTCCAAGTGATCTTAAAATAAATGACAGCAAAAGACAACATATATACTTAGTTATTCTTTTTTCTGGTAAACAAATGGCATTATGTGCCTTGTTTTAATGGTGAAATACCTTCTGTAATACAAGCTACATCTTTATTCATACCTTATTCGTTCTTACCTTATGCAGTCTTTACATCTTTATTTATTCATTTAAATTGTATTTAAAGAGGTTTACTAAATGTTAACTTGGGCTTTTTATACATTTTTTTTAAATAGGCTAACTGACTTGCATCATCTGCTTTTTTTAGACTCTAGTCTAGACTTTGAATAAACTAGAAAACCTTCTAATGTTTCAATTGTTGTCAAGGACATGGAAATGAAGAACCTTCTATCTTTAAATTAGATTAATATAGGGACCAATAAAAAAGTTAGAGACTAAAAACAACAAACAAACAAACAAAAAAACAAAATCTCTCTGAAGAGGTTTGCATGATTTCACCACCAGGTGGCTTGTATCACATATTGTCAGTTGCTTAAATAGAAAGTGTGTGAAGGCAGAACAGAGCCTGATAAATGCTTGATTAATAACGATAGGGCATAGACTGCCACAGAACCTTGAGCTAAAATATCTCTAAACGTCCTTTTCAAATCATTTAGAGGTCATGAGCTCAAAAATGTATTACTATGTATATTATTATTTATTTTTTTCTTCAGCATTTACGCATAGCGTTTGTTATTACATTGGTGTCGCCATCCTCAGTTCTGTATAAGCAAGAACACTATCAGGAAAACAGCTCCAGCCTCCGCCCATATCGGAAAAACTAGGCTGGAGGGGAATGATAGGAAGTTGTTCCTTTCGAACAGTTCATTTGAAAGAATGATTCAGTGATTCAGTGATTAATTTATGGCATCGCAACCAGATCGCAACCTACGTAAGCACTATGACGTCCCACCATAGAGCGTCCCACATACAACCTAAATATAATTTGTATTCACATTAAACAATGCTACAATTAATGTACTTCCATTGGATGAACATCTTTTTGTTCTTGTGTTAAAATAAAATGCAATAAACTACTTTCATTATTTGGAAGGCTGTCGACTGTTCAGTCTGATTCGTGAATGAATCTTTGCTTGGCTTAAAAATATCCGACTCATACGAACGATTCACCGCGCTGTGTTTGGTCCAGCCCAGCCAGTACTGTGGAGTTTATTTGTTAAATTTTCGACATTTCCCTAAAATCTATAGTACCTGCACTTTGGACTTTTAGTCACAGGGTAAGCCTGAATTATTTCTTAAGAGCTCTCTGAAATAATATAGAAAATAATTATGCGTCACGCTGGAAGTAACGTTACTTTAGTTTTTGTCTACGCAGTTCCAATTCTGGAAACACACAACAGACAGCTGTGCCAATAATAATCCAAGGTGTTTAAGAATTTGTCTGTGAAGTAGAATCAAAGTGGGAAAAATGTTCTTAAATATGAATTTTATTAGGGATTAGGGCAAGTTGACACATGAATTCAAAGGTCCACTTACACTAACTTACTTTACAGTTAACTCTTCTCGTCTCTTGCAGGTTCTCTTTGTTTTGTACGTTACCTGAATACAGTATTAGTTGAAAATTAAGTTTTCACAAATTGTGCTCATCCCTTCCATTTTGGGGATTTTGTTTATAACACGGATCAACTGGGGATCATGTTATTATGTGGGGACGCGCGCGTGCACGCAAATTGTTTACCTGGATTTCCAGCAGATGTTAAACGGTGACAGATTCCTGCCAGATTTCTTTCTTCTGTTGAACACAAAGGGAGAAATTTTGAGCCATAGTTCCAAATGAACTTGAACTGTCCCTTTATTAAGTAAAACAGACGTGTTAAAAAGTGTCTCAACAATAAAGAGCACTATGACACATTATCCTAAAAAGCCCTGTTGTGACAACATCCCCGCTATGTCATCATTTGTTCACTGAACTGTATCTTTTTGTCCTTGGCAAAAACATTGTCAAGACCTAACATGCCTTTTGGGGGAGAACAATCTTTGTTTGTTTCTCCTCTAAGGCTCGGTTTGAATTGATATATTGATGTCAAATTATATATGATGTACTTGTTTGATTATTTGCTTATCTGTCTTTACACAGGAAGTTTGGCCTTTATCACCTGTGATCACCTCCGTCTGCATCATGTCTCTGACAGTGTCTCAGGGAGAGGGTTTGACGGTCATCACCGTCTCCTCAAACCCAAAGAGCAAATGGCCCGTACTGTGTCAGATCCTGAAACTTCTGTGCTGCAGTCCAGTGTGTTCTGTATCTCAGAATATGAAAGGAAAGCTGACGAACATCCACACAGCTCTCGGGGTGAATTGAACATCTTTTAGATATTTTTCATTTGAAGACTTTTGCATGTAAAGTTGTTTTGTTCTTTTTAATTTGAGGCGTGCAAACAAAATTGTTTATTTTTTATTCCCTAGACTACACAGATAATAGTAGGAGTCATCAATATTGTGTTGGGGATTTTGCTTCAAAGCGTTTGGATATGGAACACCATTTCTGAAAGTGGGGCTGGTTTTTGGATCGGTGGTGTGGTAAGAATTATTTTACTCATTCTTATGTTTCTAAAATCTTTTCATGTGTAGTTTAATTGTGTTGTATGTCCTTAATTCTTTTTAGGATAACATGAATATATCCGCTGGGTCACTGCAGTGGACTGTACTTTGTATTTGTGTGCTTTTTAGGTCCTTGTGGCTGGAATCGTGACTATTCTCGGAGCTAAGTTTCCCAGTCCTTGTCTGGTAAGTGTCTATCAAAGCCATATCATGTACATTTCATCCATGTTTTTTGACTGTTCTGGTTTAGAAAGATTATTTTGAGCATCACCAGTTTATTGTTTGTGTTTTATAGCTGGTTATTGCAATGCTTTTTAACATCGTCAGTGGTGCACTGGCTATCACAGCTGTTGTGCTGTATTCAGTGGACTTGGCTGAGGGAAATAATCCATACTGCGCGACCGATGATTATTATACGAATTACGGTACCTATGTAACGTCTTCCCCTGAAAAGACGAGGAGACTGGAGATCTGCATGCAGTACAAATATCTAGTTCAGGTAATAAATAAATTTGTTTTATGTTTTAAATGCTGTAAGATCAAAATTCTAATCTTGAGGATGCTTGGTAATTTGACAAGCTACTAAATTAGTTAATTCAATGATTTTTTTTTTTGTACAATAATTATCTAGAGGTCATATATTTAAAAATATATAACTGGGATTATATTTACAATTTAGGGTGAGGGTTGTTGAATGAATAAATTATATTTCAAATGGGATTAAAGCTTGTGTTGCTGCTCTATTTCTTTCTTAAAGTGACACTGATCTTTACCCACCTTTAGATGATCGTCGGAGGACTGGATATCATGATGTTGGTGTTGTCGGTCCTTCTACTCTGTGTGAACATTAGTGTCTGTGTTTTGACTGGGAAAGCTTTGTGCAAGAAGGATGAAGATGCAAAGGTACTGTATCATCAACACTATCAGTCAAATCCACTGTGATCATGACGAATTCTGAGAGTTGCATGTGTGTGTTCATGTGTGTGTGTGCTTTTGCAGTCGGTGGAGGATCCAGAACTTCACAAGCCGCTCCTGGAAGACGCCATTGTCGCTCCTGCATGTTAGAGAGAGAGAACATACAAAGCCACAAATATATACAGCAAATGCACCGCCTGTCAATATAGTACTCAGATTACTTAAAGCAGATTATACATTGATGCATGATTATTCTTACAAGGTGTTCTTCTTAAACGTTTTGCTACTAATGCATGCTTTTTGAAATAAATGACATGAGAACTTTGGCATCATCCGTTTTTATATATACTGTTTTGTTCCTTTTGTATTAAGTTTCAAATAATTAAAATGTAAAATATAAAATAAAAAGTTTAAATCAATGCTCTCTTTTTTTCCTGATGATCTTGAAATCAAGACCCTTTTTGTTATGCAAAGATGCAAAACATTCATATCAGCAATGTTTTGACCTGAGTTATCTGTATATCTTTAGCCCTATTCGCACTTCATTAATAATATCTGTGGACCTTGTGGGCTTCTAAGGAATTGAAACTTGCCGGCCCAGAAAAGTTATTAAAGACATTGTTAAAATAGTCCAAGTGACTACGGTGGCTCAATCTGGCACGTACAACACATAAGTGCTGCACTGTTACACTATGTGAACTAACCCGAGGCCCACAGAAGTCGTTATTTTTATTGTTTTTTGCGCACAAAAAGTATTCTCGTCGCTTGATAAACTGGTTGAGCCACTATAGTCACTTGGACTATTTTAACAATGTCTTTAATTACTTTTCTGGGCAGGCAAGTTTTAATGCCTGAGAGGAGTGATCCAGCTCTCAGTGTAGGAGCCATTTTAATGCAATTATAGATTTGTCCACTGGGGGCACTCTGACATTTGGTATATGGTATTTGCTACAGGTGTATGGTAGTGGGGAAGCACACAGTTTTTTGACCACGTTAACCCATGTACTATGTGTAATACAATGCTGACCAATCTTACAATGTCTAAGATTGTTATGTGTTGGATTGAGTTTAATGGTGCTTAACCATGCTTCACTGATAAAGAATGATATTCAAGGATATATGGAATATGGACAAGGTGTGTACACTTTATCTGCAAGGTATGGATTTACCATTAATATGTTTGAAGAATGACAAAGAATGCAACACCACAAGAAGCCAATTGGAAGCAACATTTATCAATTAGAGCACAAAAAATAAAGACATTGGTTGCGTCTTATATCTGAGTTCATGGAGTTTATACAAGTTAATTACTGTCTTACGGGCTTTGAACAACATGAGGGTGAGTAATTACTGACAGAATTTTAATTTTTGGCTGAACTATCTGTAAGATCACAGACAACCTCTGCATTTTTTTACAAATGACAGAGGTCACGAGCTAATCCAGTGCTAATAGGGCTTTTGGCTATTCGCTGATCCCACCAGCAGGGGGCGTTAATATGCTCAAGTGTGTCAAGGCTAATGTTATCAATGAGTGGGATTGGGAAGAACTTTCACCATGAACACTTCTCCCATAAAATGATTGAGTAAGAAATATTGAGTACTTGAATACTGAGTTGTAATATTTTTTTTTGAGAACAATGTGAAATGAAAGAAGAGGGGTAGAAATCAGTTACCAGGCTTCCTCTGGATACATCTGTTTATGTCACGTGGATGTCAGCTGTCTGTCTTGACCAGGAACAAACAAAGGAATAAAGGCAAATGTTTTTAGGTCTCCTTCCACAGGTATGTTTGCGGATTACAGTGGTGTTGAATCACTGGCTGACACTTCTGTTCCTTGCAAAAGATTCACTCATTTAAAACAGCTGAAACCGTCATCAAGAGTCAGAGCTTCAGAATATAGTGATTTCATATGCAAACAAATGCTGTGTGACATGGTTTCCATAGTCCATTAATTTACAACAGTCTGGCACTTCTACAGTTTAGTAATTATGTGATGATTTACACTGTCTGTGTGCTCTGTGATCTTGTTATTTGTAGTCCAGATGGATTTTAAGATGTTGAACGCTTGAATCAAGAAACTAGGCTATTTGTTTTTCTTTGCTTATTGTATGGCCATTTTCCTTTCAGTTAATCAGAACCAGCTTCTGTCATTGGTGCCAAACATCAGTAGGCCTACTTGGAAAGACAGCAATGACAAACACATCTGGAGTGTGTGTATGGTGAGTTTCAAAGGTACAGTAGGCCTATATAAATTTGAATTTACCAAGTTTACATATTGAAAAAAAATTTTGTGCTCAGCGCCTTTTTTATTTGTCTCTATATGTTTGATGCATGACACACCTACATTTTCTGTTTGGAACAACATGAGAATGTGTAAATATTAATAATGCCATCATTTTCATTTTGGGTGAACTGTGGTTTTAAAAATGTGTGTGTGGCATGGATTAGTTATTTACCGTGGGTCGACAGACTTATTGAACTTGATTTTCCAGTGTTAATGAATTCAAAGAAATGCCAAATCTGATTGCTTATTTTCATTGCTGTATCACTGAACATATATTAACAAGAGCCATTGGCTCCACTGTAGTTTTTTCTCTATGTAGACATTTATCCTTTCTATATTCAGTATATTAGACCAGGAAGAATCTCAGCATCTTGAAGGTTTTCCACATCTGCATCCAATCCTGTTGGGTGAGGTTGTGTGCTATTGGAGCCACTCACCTAATAAACATTTACTGGATCTTTTTCAGGGTGAAATTGGTCCAAAATGAAATTATTTCAATGGAGACTGCATTTAGGAAGAACTAAGGTAACATTGAGACGATAAATGACTGCACAATGTATTTTTGCATCTCACGCGAAACCGTCCTGACGCACGTGATGTTTTTCTGCGTTCCTGAGGTCACCTGATGGGGCCGGACTCAATGTGAGGCACTGTGGCCAAATCATAATCATTGAAAAGTCATTTTGTTCTGATTAAAAGAACCTCTTAAGCTATTTACTAGGAGACTAAGTTCATGCTCCTCCCGAGGTTGAGCAGACTGCTGTCAGACACTTTCTTTGTGGTTGGTTGGGCACATTTCTAGAGGGAATAACTTTTCTAGGTCATTTTTCTTAAAAAAAAAGACTCCATATTACCTGACTTGCATGATTTGAAATAATAATAATAACAAAAACCTAAACATAACTTTTTATATTGTTGCCTGCTGCCGTTCTGTTTCTAGAGGTCATATTGAGGCCCTGTGTCCATGCCAATGGAGCCAAACACTATGACTGTTAACCTGAAAACAAGCAAGTCACCCTTACTAAGCCTGCATAATGATGCAAGACTGCACAGAAATAAACCAGTGAGCCAAAAGTCCCTCTGATATAATCCCACATACCCTTCAGCTGAGTAGAAGTGAAAGGAAGTTGAAGAAAAAAAATGAAATGTGAAAAACTGAGATTGTTTTTCACCATTGATTTTAAATAAACTGAGATGTACGGAATTTATTGATTTTGAAAGCGTCTTCATAGCTTTTGTCCGTGGCACAAGCTGTCCAGTGCTGGGTTGTGAATTAAATAAGGCTATTGCCTAAGTTGGTACAGCCGCTATAGTATTTATAGTATTTATAGTATTATCAGATGTGTATGGTGACGGGGAGATGTCGTGAAACGCCACTTTTGTCTTCCTCCATGATCAATGAAGCAGCTGTGCAATAGGGAGAGGTCTTTTCAGCGAGGAGACGTCAACAATTTAGTGTGCTTAATAGTACTTTGGCTAGATTATCATAATTATTGCCTTGATTGGAAGTTTTCAAGTTGAAGGTGTGAACATTTGTTCAATGTTTATATCCTTTGCCATGATTTGCTTCACAATCATTCATTTCTAATATATTTTAGAATATTTTCACATCTATAAGCAGAGTTGTAGTCATGACCAAACCTCTGAGATCAAGACCAGATCCTAGACGATGCCCAGACCGAGATGGCCTCAAGTGGGCGGTTGGTTTTGGTTTAGGTCTTAAAGGATCTGGTCTTGTAATAGATGTGTAAAAACTCAGTATATACATCAAATGTCATGTAGCAGTGTTTTCATGTGAATTCGTAGTTTGTTTAGTTATAATTTTGTCTTTGCTTTTAAATATAAAGCATTGGCATTTTGTTTTCTATTCTAGGTTTGTTTTTGACCACTGTCAAAGGGTGGGACAAATCCTGAGATAATAATAGATCCGTTTGTGGCTCCTCTGCATAATTACAGGGTTTGATGGGTGTTTCTACATCAGTGAAACATGACATTGAAAAGAGGACGTACAACATCACAGATGTCCAGCAACACTATTAGTTGTCTGAAAAAAGATTCCCACAAAATGAAAAACTGTATTAACCATAATACAGTTTTTCCCGAAGTTCAATAACTGCTGCAACACCAGCTGAACTGAACTGGCATTTTATGAAGGAAATATCAGTGCTAAAATATTATGGAAATATAATGCTGACATCTTGCATTTCAGCCTTAGCTTTGTGTAGATGAAATGCCACGTCGTTGCATCATCATTGTAAAACTATAAATAATTCAATATATGCAAGGAAGACAGTACCAATAACTTTTCAGTATGCATGCATATGCAGGTCATGATCACTCTAGTTCAATTTCAACTGGTGAACATTGCAGTCTATGGGAGGCTTTCAAACTTTTATCAGATATTTCCTTAAATATATGTGTACAAAACAATAATATAGCACATCAGAGACTTAAATAATCTACAACACACTTCCTGGTGTCTAGTTCAGAACAAACTCTGAGCATAATGTTTGAGTAACATCAGCTTTCCAAAGACTGTAGAAGTGCAGAACAGATTATGTATGGAAATGTTTTCACTATCTGAGAGCTCAAGTGATCAGATTTCATCAGAAACAGAGTTACAGAATCTTTGATGTGTCCAAATCTAATAATGTGGCGTTCGGTGGGGTTCTTTATCTCTGCTATGAACGTTTGAACAGTGAGGATGTTAAACACAAAGACAAATCATTCATTGTTTAGACTGTTTGTTTATTAAAAAATATCAGAAGAAAATTTTTAGTGTCACATGATCCTTCTGAAATCATTCTGATAAGCTGATTTGGTGCTCAAGAAACATTTCTGATCATTATAAATGTGTTTTTTTTTAATCATTTTCTTCGAAATTTTAAAACAGCATTTGAAATAATATATTTTAACACTATCACAATCACTTTTGATCAATTTAATACATTCTTGCTAAGTAAAGTATTCATTTCTTTAAAAAAAAAAAATGGTACTGATTCCATTTCAGTTGTGAACATTTCAGTTTAAGAACAACAGAGTACTCTGTCATTTGTGTCAGGTTTACTTTTCAACTTATGGCTGAGACAGAACAAGACCTTACCCATATGAACGTTTGTTTTTACATGTCGTTTAGAGGCCAGTAAATCTGAAATAGATGAATGCTGCCTTCACGTGCTATTAGAAATGTCCTACTTCATCCAAGCTTGCTTTCATATGCTTTGTTGTCGTAAAGAAAAGGAATCATTGACGACACCATGTTTATTATTGCCTATTTATTGTGAAAAGCTTATTAAAGCCAAAATGACATTTAGCATCCCATTCTTTGACAATCATATAAACATTCACCATAATATAGTCAGTTTTCGGACAATTTCACTATTTTCACTGTGTATAAAACATACAATACGCTTCAAATGACTATTCATAGCTGTATGTAATGCACTTTAACATCAAGACATGGCGGTGTCAATAAACAATAGTAGTGACAGCAGCAATCGTTCAGCAATATTTAAAGTTTATGGCACGCCAAACTTGAAAACTTGGGTATCAAAAATATCCCAGAGATTCCCAGTGGTAAATATGACTTGAGATGGTGTTCATGTTCAGTTTATACCTAAGAAACTAGTATTTACAATAATTCCGATAGCACTTGAAGGCAGCATAAAGCACAATAATAGATTGCATCAGATTTTTTTTAATGCACATAAAAAAGCATTCAAAATCAGCAGAACACTGCGTTCAGACTTAGCAATCATACATCCTTTCCAATAAAACAAAAAAACTGATTACTTCAGACAAACAACAAACGTTCCTCAAGTTCTTCCTGTGACCCTTAAAAAAAAAATCTGCTTTGCTTATGTTGGCTCACCTTTTTATTTTTATTTTATTTCATTTATTTGCCTATTTATTCAATATTTTTCATTCTTGTTGTGTGCTCCTCGCTTTATAATGTGTACATTATGTTAAAAACTTACAATAAAGTATTTTAATAAAACAAAACAAAATAAATATTAAGGTTAACCTTATAAGCTCAATGTTAAGAAGTGTTTTTGTCAAAGATGTGAAAGCTATAAACTAGGAGATCTTTGTCAAATCTAGTAATAAGTTCTTCATAACTTTTTTTAAACACATTTGTGCAAACATTTTGCATAGTCAGGGAATGTGGACCATATACTTACCAGCCTAAACGATAGGCTACCATCACCCAGTATACACTCACAAATAAGCCCAAATTTGAGGTTTAAAACAACTTTGATAGGTTAAAAGTGTCCATTTATAACTTCGATAAAGGCTAACACTAGGAAAAAGGATAATTTTGGTCATTTAAAGTCAACCTTAGAGAGTTTAAACACTCTTTATAGTGGTTTAAAGGTGTGAGCGTATCCTCCAACAGCTGTTTAGATGTTATTTCAATTTCCCTGCCTAGTTTAAGCAGAATGAAGAAAGACATAGAAGTTCTTGAACTCTTCAAAGAAGTGCAGCTCATCCGAGAAGCTGCTGGAGAAGCCCAAATCTTTGCATGAGGTCTTGACAGTGTGGACCACACAGACAGGGATTGTCTCAAAAAGCAGTTCGGCCATCGGCGTCATCGTGATCTTCTTCTGCTCCAAGACCAGGCTCTGTATCTGGGCTTTATCGACGGGTTCAGGCGAGGCGCTGTAGGAGACCATGACGTTTAGCTTGTCATCCGACGCCGGCACCTGAAAGCGACTCTTTCCCGTCAATCCCTGGAAGTCTTTCTTGTTGGTGAACAGGCCCGTGGGGGAGTTGAAGATGCGGACTGACCAGCACACCCAGTCGTACTTCTTTTTCAGGTGCTCTACCAGCATGTCGGCTAGTTGCTGGTTGCTTTTGTCGCTTTGGTCCCTCACTATGCGCTTGGCGTCCAGCTCGGCCTGCGACGGAAAGCTGTTGATGCAGTCTTCAATCACGACGTTCATTTTAGACTGGACCACATTCATCCTCTCGCTCCAATCTTGAAGCAACTTCTCCTCGTCGTCGTCGCCTTTCAACGCCGCGTGTCCCAGTAAGGCGATCAAACCGACGCAGAACAATTTCTTGAGCGTGGCGCAGAAATCCTCCACCGACCTGCGGCTCTTCTGCTCGTAATTCAGAGTGATTTCCAGAACAGACTCTCCTGAGAAGTTATCTCCGGTTACGGCGTTATACAGAGTGTGCAAGTTTTTGTCGCCCCCCGTCCTGTTGAAGTGTTCCAGGAACGTTTTCTTTCTGACATCTCTGAATTTAGGTTTCGCATTCAGGACGTCCATGAATTTGCGGAATTGGTTGGTCAGGTTCTCCTCCACGGAGAAGTAGGTGGCGTCTATCCCGCTCTTCTTGATCTCCTGGTTTATCTGCTGGACCTCTTCGGAAACAACTTCCAGGCGCTCTCGCACCTTCTGGAACTGCTCCTTCATGTACTCGGCCTCTTTGCTTTCCACGTTATCCAGCGCCAGCTTCACAATCGGAGCTGCGATGGAGAACACGGGGAACAGATCTCCAGCAATGCTGGCCAACACTTCTGCGCCCTGCTCAAACACTTCCATCACGGTCTCGACGACATCTTTCTTCTGTGCAACAAGTTTCTGCAGCTGATCGGCCATCTTTTAGCTTTTATAGCAAGATGTCTCTGTGGAAAATAGGATCAGTGAGTACATAATTAGAAATGTACCATTTAAAGGGGTCATGAATTGAGAAATCAAATTTTGACATATAAGAGATCATTCAACATTCAACTACTAAAGTTTCAGAACTCAAAACTTCCACATTAGTCGGAAAACAGCTTTTATTGAAGCCAAGCTCAGAAAACGACTTGTTTCGCGTTTTGTCACATTACGCCTACTTACGCCTACGTCATTAGGCCCTCCCACTGATTCACGCTAGCCTTGGTTTCCCCATGCTGCTAGGCAGCCTGGACACCATGAACCAAATTCTCACCTGAGATAGGGAACCAATCACAGAACGGGGAGGGAGCAGCAAGACGACATATATGCGACGCACCGAAGCAGTTTGTTTATATCGATGGATCCATCTTGGCAGTGGACGCAAAGTTATCTTTTGATACAGCCTTTGTGTATACATAAATCTCCTAAATCTCTGACCCATCGTCTTCTTCCTCGTCTAATTTTCTGTCGCTCTACATACGTCATCTGGTGTCATTGAACTGATTGGCTATGAGCTACAGGCGCATTTGATAGACATTTGTAGCACCCAATAATACGGCTATGGGTATTCGTAAAACACGCCTCAAATACGAGAAAATGAACATGTGATTTCCAGACCACGTCTCATTCTTAATGATATTAGGTCTGGTGTTAGCCAGGCTAGATTTACGAATGACATGTCGGAAATACAAGAGACGCAAATAAAGGATTTACTTTAGCTACAAAACAATAGACGCCTCTGAGGATTACAAGACGTTTTGAAGTGGCCTAAAAAGTCTGCCTAAAAAGTAATAATCTAAAATTAAGAAAGTGTGGATGTATTTTATTTTTAACAACGTTTCAGTCAGATCAGTTTATTATACTGTGGATTCGTTTTATAAACAACACCACAGTTCGACGCAAGCTTTTCAGAGAGACTGAATAAAAAAATGAATGAATAATTAATAAAAGTTGACGCAGTGAAAACTACATTCGTACTGACAGTGTAAAGTGTGAGTAACAGTGTTTTGCTTTGTCTTATACAGCTCGCTTGATATGTACTTGGTATTTATACAGTAGCGCTGCAGTCAAACTGTGAATAGTTGTGATTGGCTGTTCTTTCCTTTGTCATTTATGTGATTTATTTGCCACAACCAAGATTTTTCAACATTAGAAGTTTTAAAGACAATTCCGCACGTGTAATGGCGGGGATGTTGAAAACGATTTTAATATATTATATAAAATAGCTTCTCATTTGAAAGACTAAGCTTGGGTATTTGTGCACATGCTATCCAGGTTGCACGTTTTTATACATGGCATGCAAAACATTAGTAAATAAATAACGGTCTTTGTCTTTTGAGACTTGTAAACGGAAAGAAACTTACATGTTTCAGTCTTCGTTTCCTCTGAATCTTTAAACGGTCAGTGTAAATCAGGGTGGGCTTGCTAAAAAAAGATAAAGGAAATGAGAAATGTTTTATACAAACCATAAAAGCAGCAACACACACCAGGTGTATGTACACATGATAAAAGAGGCTCTTTCGTTCAACCACACCTTCACTTACATAAAAGACATGGGCCAGATGCATTCATTCAATTCAAACATGCACTAAACGAACTGGCAAATAATGTAAGAACAATTAGTCACACAGTATGCATTATGCAACAATAGAGAGGACAACCATTTCAATTGGAAACAGTTCGAATGGATTTCCCCTTTTTCCATAATAATGATGCAACGCTATTTTTAAGTAGCTTGTTCGGTCATATTATATAACTTCCTAAAAGTCCAACGTTGTGACATACTTGACTGACTTAATGTCTTGTGATCTAAACCTTTGTGCTTTATATGAGTTGTTTCATAAAACAAAAGAAGTGTTGTTGTTTAATCTTTTTAGTGTCTTTAGCATTATGTGAAAATGTGGAAAAATGAAGTGTGTGCAAATTTGTGACTGGTTGTATAACATTAAGAATGCTGACACACTATTCCCTTACATAAACTTGCCAGAATACAATACAATGGTACATTAATTATTTGTGATTTGATTTGTGATTATGATTTTAATCACGATACGGTGATATATTGTAACATTTCTTGTTTTGTTTTTTGCATAAAACCTGAGTAAAAAATTATTTGCATTTATATCACTAATCACTATTGTTAGGGATAAAGGGAAAATAGCAAAGTGCTTGCAAGATTCTTTTAGTAATATCCAGCAAAACCACTGATGATTTTTCCATTAACATTTTGCCAACACAGGTGTTGGAATAATTAACAGGGTAGTTCAACTAGCTGAGCAAGAACCTTTTTCCAAAGCACCTCAGCAGTAACCATGGAAACAAGACAAGAAAAACACCAATTCAGCTTCTCTCCAGACACACACATTATGCTCTTTTTAACTGGGCAGTAGCTACAAAATTCCAGTGTTAAAAAATATCACTAATTCAAGCAATTATGTGACTTACAACCCAAAACAGACTTGTATGCATTTAAAATTGTAAAGATATGCTGGCACGCAATGGATCATAAAAAATGAATGACTAATTTAATACACTAGTGTAGGGCCATTAGCTTTTATCCTCACCTGAACTCTTAACACACATATGAAAAGTCCTATGGGTTAAATCAAAATAGCACCATTCCAATTATCCGTTTTGTTGTTTTCATCGTTTTATATGTATAGTTTTAGTCCAGTTGAAAATATGTTAAAAGAACATTCGCATACGTATAAGACATCCGATAAAACTAATCTGTAAACAATTATACGATCAGTAAAATCTGATAACAGATGTTTTATATTGCTTTAACTCATCAAAATAGATGAAGCAATTTATAAGCAACTTTTTTTATAAGTTATATATACAAGATCCAACATATTTTTTAAGTCAGTTTAATGTAATTTAAGTTGATTGACAGCAACAAAGTGTTGGCGTGATCTGGCCCACATGTGGGCCGTGTGGAATCCACGTGTACCAGATCTGGGCCAACACTATGTTGCTGTCTGGGTTTTTATTCAGTGTAGTCAGTGTATTGATTCATGGGCTGTGTCTGAAATCGGTCCCTATAGGCTACCCTTAAATTGGGCACTATTTAAGGGGTCAGGCAGCGATTAGTAGTTGTGTCCGAAACCATAAGACGTTATCGAGTGAACTCATTCCATCCCACAATGCACTCCAATAACAAGTGTGCAACCGAACCGATGTATGCTCTTTGGCTAGAGCATACCCATAATGCACTGTGAGAGTCGCGTGCTGAATGAATTGGCCAGGAGAAGGCGCTTACAGCTGAGTAAAATCATCCATCCATTTTCCAAACTGCGCTGATAGAGAGTATTATCATACAGGTAAATTCCTTTTTAATTTGATATTACATTGTTTAGTTAAAGTTGCTAGTTTTCATGGCAGAGTTTAAGGCCTACATTGAATACTTGATTCTGATTGGTCAAACATGGCGGCCGTCAAATATTGTTTTCACAACCGTGTTCAAGTAACGTAAGGTATCTAATTGTGTTTTTTTCGTGGTCTTTACACATAATTTGATTCGAATAATATTTCACAAGTAATATTTGTATATTTGTTTATTTTTTCTGTAGGTTATGTTTGTTTGCTAAGCAGTCGTAACGTTACACTCATAATGACAGTTGGTTATTTTCGCAAAATAAACGGCTTTATGATTTTGCTGTAGCAACGACGGACTGCCCTGCAAGTTGTCCCGTAGGACCCGTACCTGAACCAATCTTGACAGAAAGGTAAATCTGTTCTCCTTTCCTCCCTCCGAATAGAGATTTAGTATTTCATAACCACATTTCTACCGGCACATATGCAGAAATGTCCCCTTAAGGTAAAATGTAGTTAAAATATCAGACTGGCAAAGTTAATAATGATTGTTGACATAAGAAACACTTCCTGATTCAGACTGCAGCCTACCGATCACTGTCAAACAAACCCTCTTGAGTTCTTCAGAACGAAAACAAATGAGTTTAAATTAGTTACAGAGAAGATAATTTTTTGCCTGAATAATCGATCGGTTATGTAACTCATTCTCTCGTGTTTAAAACACACCGATGTCTCGAGCTGGTGAAAATGTTACAGGCGGACAGCAGACAGTAGAGAAACGCCCTAAAACTTTTCATGAGCAAAAACTGAAACCACGACGCACAGAGACCAATGAATCCGTCGTTGAACTGACGTCTAGACTTAAGAACAAATTAGCACTGTTATTCAAGCAAACTCACCTTCCAATCGATCACAAATGGGATTGAATTAAATAAAGCAAAAGTTCAGGCTGATCTGTCTCGCTCGACGTCTGATTATGTGCTGGTTCTTCTCTAAGCTCGTGGTGGCACACCCTTCAACTAAGTTACTACACACTGAAGGAATTTCAAGTATTGTCTTTCCCCTCACAAAATTGACCATTTTATCATAGTTTCAGCAAAATTCATGATTTTTGTTTAGAGAAATATTTAAGTAGGCTATTGTCCTTTAACCCTCTACAAGATGTACCATGGTTTACTACACCAAAATACCACAGTAAATTTTATGTTTAGTACTATTGTAAGAAAATGAATGAAGTATTGTCGTTTATTTCTTAGAATTTACCACAGTATCCCTAAAAAACCCACAGTTCAGTTTTTTATATTATTGTAAGAAATTAAGTTTTGTCCTTTAATTTTTGCTACGGTTACCATAAGTTGTTTTTTTTTTTTTTAAGGAAAATTATTTAAAATATTCAGTCTCTTGTATAAGTCTTGTATAATTACCCTTAAAATATGAACTTTATTCAGCTAAACATTTTATTTTTGAAGTGAAAACAAGGCTATGACTTATGGAAATACAGTACGTAATAAAAAATAGCCTAATATCTAGAATAAGGTGCATAACTTTAATTAAAAAAAAAATGTTGATACTTTGAAACAAATTTCTATATCATAGTTGTTTTATTTGCGATTACATAATATCATAAACATGAAATGGACATGATTCTTGGGTTACATAGAATATATAACTAGATTTTTCATTTGAAAATACATTTTTTTTTCCAGAAAAGACTACACTCTAAAGTTTAAATGAAAAGATTTTTGATTGTAAACACCACGACTAACAACAAACCCCCACAATCTGTCTATCGTTGAAGTTTTCGCCTCTCAACTTGTCTTTTAAAACCATTCTGAAGTACAAAACAATAAAATTTACAACTGAAATGAATGTATTTATCTTTATATTCCTTTTTCGCTTTGACATGCGAATATAAAGTGAAGAACCAGCGGTAATATACTTTCTCGTTGTATCCCCACAACAACAATTCAGTCATCAGTTTGCTTTACCTAATTATCCTGCTGGATAATTTGATACAGGAAAAATAGAGAAGACTGATTGCTGTATCTATTCAGAATGAATGCACAGGTATGCCCTTTTGTGCCTCGCAAAGTAGAAACATTCTGGCTGGAAGTTGTTTTTCTCTTCTACTTTCTTATAGCAGCTAATGGCATGGACCAAAGTGTCGGGAAGAGTCTTCCACAGCTCTTGAGCCACAGACTGCATGTTTCCTTTCAGCTTATGTGCCTCTATCTGATCTAGCAGATGGCTCTTGTTGAGGGGTTTCGGGTCTACACTGAAAGACACCACGATTCTGATGCTGTTTGGGGTCAGAAGGTCAAAAAAGTTGCCACCTCCACCGCTTCCATGGTACTTTTTGCCAGCGAGCCAGTTCCAGAAGAAGATGCCACTGTGGTTGAACACCCGAACTGACCAAGAAACCCAGTAGTATTTCTTCTCAAGGAGATTCAGTATTAATCCTGCGAACTCTTGGTCAACGCTGGCTTGTCGCTCCAAAAGTTGATGCTCCACGTCCGTCTTGGCCTGCAGAGGGAAATTCTCAATGCAGTCATCCACCGCCGCTTTCATGCGTGTCTCTACATCTTCCATGCGATCCTGCCATTTCTTCACCATGGCCTCGCCTACCGCTCCCTCTTTCAGGGCGGCGTGACCCATGACTGCTATAATTCCCATGACAAATATCTTCTTCAGCCTAGCACAGAACTCCTCCACTGGCTTTCTGCTCCTTTGCTCTGTGGTCACCACCGTGTCCAGTATGGCATCTCCGGACATATTCTCTCCAGTTACAGCATTGTACAAGGCGTCAATATTCAGATCGCTACCCGTGTTCTCATACTGGCTTATGAACTTCTCCTTCTTCTTCTCCTTGAACTTGGGCTTAGCATTGACAAAGTCTTGAAACTTCTCATACTGACTGATTATCTTCGCCTCACGGTCAAAGTTCTGCTTGTTCATGGATGTCCTCTGCATCTCCAAAGCGATTTGGTCGATTTCATCTTGAATGCCTTCGAGTTTCTGGTTAATCTTTTCAAACTGCTCAGCAAGGAACTTGGCCTCCTTCCCATCCGGGTTGCCGAGGATCTCGGCCGAGGCCAAAAACACGGCCTCCAGGATGGGGTGGAACTGTCCCACAGTGGCTGCTAAAACCTCGCAACCTTGCCCCATGATTTCCACTCCTTTCTCGATCTTGTCCTTGTTCTCCAAAACCCATTCTTCCACCCGATTCATCCTGGATCAAAGCAGAGAGGCCTTCTTATCCTTCTTACCCTTGTCTGTAACAGATCAAGGCATATATATCATAAAGTGGAAGCCACAATATAAAAATCAATACTGAAATCAATGCAGCTATTTCTAAGGGTCATATTTGTTTGCTCAGGATGAGACCTTAACAGTAACCTGAGATGAATTGGACAGCCAGACCACAGGGGCAGAAATACCAGAGTGTTTGTACATTTAAAAATGTTTTCCATGGGCTCAAGCCATGGCCAAAAAAAAAAAAGAAAAAATTCTAGTCTTGTTCGGGCATGTCCTGTTCCACCTTACAACCTGCCAGCAATGTCTCAAATTATACAACAATAAAGGCAGATCATTGAGATCAGGTGACTACTGTAAGAATTAAAAGCAAATATAAGTTTTTTTGTGCTTCAAAGCACAGTTTATTATTATTATGAATAGGAGAGCTGCTCTCTCTCCTCTTTTTTGGAGAATAACTCAGCATTTAAACCCCATATGTATAACAAAGCAGATGTTTTCAGGAGGGGTTACTGGGTGGGAGAATATATTTGATGGCTCTTGCTAGCATTTCTGGACATTTCTGGGCACTCTGATTACACAAGGGAGATGATCTCACTCTCGTATCTAATTTCCCAAGACTCAATATACAGAAAAAAAGGCACACCCAGATCTGAGAAAATCTGAAACCATTACACTTGTCCTGCGGTGAAACCATGTTCTACAGCAGGCAACAAAATGACTCAGATTTTATCTAATAAATAAGCACAAATAAATATACAAGACTAAACCTGACATTTGACATTTCAAAGATCAAAGGCTTAATTTGGCTCCTGCTCAGTAATGATTTAGTGGAATGTGTGAACAATTGTGAAAATTAATTTGCTAATATTATGAATGATAAGCATGTAGAACTTATATTTGGAATTTATGACGCAACAATTCATCTTTTAAAAGAGCATTCTGATCTCAATGGAATGAGCAAAACAATACTTACTGAACAATACAATGATCCTGATTGTTTCAAATCCTCCTTTGTAAGAATAATTAAGATGGCTTTGAAATTAAAACTCCAGGATGTGTCCGATTTCAGAGAAAAGACTTCATATAAAGAAAATGAAATGTAGGAAAATAGTTTAAAAGAAATCCAGTCTAGCCATTTGTACAAGCAGACCCTGTTTTTGATAGTTCTACCCTGTGAAAAAAAAAAGGAAAGGAACCAACCAACTGATTCTGAAAAAGAGGAACTGTTTAAGTTCAAAGCCACGTCCCTTATTTCTATCCAAATGCAGCTTGGAGCTTCGTGGCAGTCAGTATATTGACTTAAGCACAACATCCAGTGTTATCTGGACATATTATGGCAGGATGTGGTACTTAAGTCAATATTGACTATCATCCACATCACAATGATTCTCATAAATTGTCATCTCCAACTGTTCATGAAAAATGATAATTAAAAGCGTAGATCACTAGGCCAGCTTTTTTATGTGTATTTTTTATTTTATCCTTGGCTCTATGAAGTTTTTGAAGTTGTGCAAATAAAACAACAAAAGATGAAAAAAAAGAAAGGGAAGGATAATGAATGGAAATAGACAAAGAGCAACAAAAAAAAAGAAAAGGAGAGACTCACCGTTAGTCTGGTGAAATGTATAGATGTGTTCTCTAGTGATCCAACAGAGTCCAACTGTGCCTAAAAGCAGCAGCCTCCCAGGGTCCACATGTATATATAGACTCTGCCCTGCGGCACTCCCCCTTCAGATTAACTCCATCCCCTGCATGCATTCCTCTGAGCCCACTGAAGAGATGAGGGACAGGCACACAGACAGATTACATCCTGTAAACATTCCTTCTTTGAGAAAAATCAGCATGTAGTAGTTAGATAGTCCCAGAAATGCTTAGTAAAGTCTTTCCCTTATAAAACATGCTGCATGGTCTGCTTTTCTACACAGGTTGTCATGGGTACAGACACTCACAGTGACCAGTGCACGCACACACACACACACACACACACACACACACACACACACACACGATTAACCGCGCAAAATAAAAGTTTGTGTTTACATAATATATGTGGGTGCACTGTGTATAATTATTTTATATATATAAATACACCCACATGCTTGTATATATTTAAGAATAGTTTCATGTATACTGTATACTGTTGTATATAGATTTATATATAAATTATATTATATATAAATATTTTATATATAAATTATATATTTTTTCTTAAATATACATGCATGTGTGTGTATTTATATATATATATATATATATATATATATATATATATACAAAATAATTATACACAGAGCACCCACATATATTATGTAAACACAAACTATTATTTTGAATGCGATTATTTCTATATATATATATATATATATATATAATATATATATATATTGTCGCATTCAAAATAATAGTTTGTGTTTACATAATATATGTGGGTGCTGTTGATGTTGATTCATCAATTTTCACTAAATGCCATGTGTCACATATTCAGGCTGTAGACTTTATTAATAAACATGAATAGAAAAACAAGAATATACAATCTTAGAGTTCAAGGAAACAGCCTAAAACCAAAAACCGCTGCTATATTTGCGCTGTCATAAATAAAAATCACAATGACATATACAGTATAAAGATGTACTTTACAATTGTGAGAATCATCCATAGGAATTTGCAAACTATATCACACTGGCCCAAACGGTAGTGGATACCATGCATTAGAAGGCAAAATTCTTTTTTTTTTAAAATGCAAATAAATAAGTTGTAGACTTATAGTAGTTGCAGACACAAATTTC